AAACCACTTATAACCCACTTTATTCTGCACTTGCATTCCCTACAGACACAGTGATACTCCCGGACTTTGGGCATCGGTGCCGGACTACCCGTTTCTCCCCTCCTTCACCATCAGCAGGCACCCAGACATGTTCAGTACCAGCAAGCCTGTCCCTCCCTCAAGGAAAAAGCTCTGGCGTCCCACTGGCAGGTACTCCACAGTCCTCTTTCACACAACGGGAAGCGTGAAAAAGAGTAGCCAAGACCATCAGTCTTAGTTAAAACTTCCGATCTTGGTTAAAAGCTACACCAAAGGCTAAGGAGCAGGACAGCGCCCAGAAAACAAGCAACCCGGCTGTCCTTAAACCTTACCAGCATGGATACAAACCTGGATAAGGGTTCGCAGCAGCACCGGTGAAGAGCAGGAGCACCCCACGCTCAGCGGGGAGGGTCACCAGCAGCAGGCAGGGCTCCCACCAGATGACTCGTTAGCAGTGTTCACACACAGTGCCAGCAGCAGGCAGGGCTCCCACCAGACGACTCGCTCCCACCAGACGACTCGTTAGCAGTGTTCACACAGAGTGGTGTGCAGTGATTTCCTCTCCCAGGGACGCTTCCAGGCAAAGCTAAGGCATCCATCCCCTGCCTCCCTTCCCAAGAGACTATCAGGAAAGCTGGCAAGGAGATAACGGGATGCAATGCTATCAACACACCGATAGTGTCTAGATTCTGATCTTCGCCGTACTGCACCGGTAACGCCAGTGCAGGGACACACGGAAGGCCTGGCTAACTGAATTTCCGGCTGTGCGAGGGGGAAAGCTAAACCACTAGCTGGCAGAAGTAAACAACGTGCTACTCATCCCACATCCCACTAAAATCCGAGCTGTCTCTCAAATCTGTAACTTGGATTTGGGTAGGGACCACTACTGCTATCGTAGTCCCAGCTTCCCTGGGGAGGCAAGCAGCGGTGCCCTGTGCCTGGGGGTGACCGACCGCCGCAGGACTGAGCTTGGGCTGGAAAGGGACGCAGTAGATCCATCGGGCACATCACCTCTCCATGAAAAGCAGATGCCGGGCTGGCTAGGGACGCAACCACCTCGGGACAGGCGCTCTCGGAGAGGGTTGCTCTCCCGGATATCCATACCCACGGCAGCTCCCTCAGGCACTTGGCTTTGAAAGGCTTTTTTGCAGGTCGTGGAAGGTGGGGGTGACATACAGACTGCCAAAAATTGGCTTCCAAAAAGCCTTCAATTCAGACACAATGCCCCATCTTGGACTAAAGCTGTCCACTCCAGCCGGGCTTTTGTCTCAAAGGCATTCAGAGCATGTCTCCTGACACATATTTGCTTTTCAGTAAGTCCTTCCTCCTTTCACTGCCTTTTACCTTGCAACTTCACAAGCGTTTGTAGCAAGGAGCCATCTCACCCCATCAGGCCCAACACTCATCTCTTGCCGTGCAGCTTCCAGCTGTCCTACGCGCTCATCGTCCTCCCAAAGCCTGCGCGGCCAGGATCTCGATAAGGGCTGGATTTATTGCATCTCCCCGCTGACTCGGTGCTCCAGGCAGAGTTCCTGTTGGGTTCAGGCAGGCTGACCAAACACATTCCTAGTGACCGCAGCTGGAGAGGATTTGAAGGAGTTCCCTAACTCGAAGAAGCCTCAAGTCCTTTAGCAAAACACAGTTCTCAGCTTCTTACAGGGACATTAACAGTGATCTGAGGGAGAATGATCTTAAGAAGCTTTTCCCACCCTCCTTAAATCCTTGATTTCCAACACATAAACCAACTTCTTCAGCTCTTATACGCCACAACAATGAACGAACCCTAGGAAAATGTCTGTATGGAGGATCCTTGATGGATTGCGACGAACCCTCCTCCACCTCACACCCATGCAATGGAGGAGGAAACGAGAAGGATGCAGACAACTACAGGGCACCTACCTCACTCCGGTCCCTGGGACGATCACAGAACTAATCCTCCGGAAAGCCACATCCAGGTCCACGAGGGATAAAACGATGGGAAGTAGTCACCACTATAGTGCTAGCCCAACCTGGCTGCCTGCTGTGAGGATTAGGGCACCTACCTCACTCCGGTCCCTCAGAAGATCACAGAACTAATCCTCCGTAAAGCCACATCCAGGCCCACGAGGGATAAAACCATGGGAAGTAGTCACCACTATAATACTAGCCCAACCTGGCGGTCTGCTGTGAGGATCCTATGGATGAGGGAGGGCAGTGGTTGTTCTGCCAGACTGACAGCAAACACAGAGTGGACGGACAGCCTACAACTGGGGTGAAAGACAGCATGGACTGCTGTGCTCAGACTTCAGCAGTTAACAATTTCCAACCTAGGAGGTGGCCAGCTGCAAGTGGAGCTCCTCAGGGGTTGGTACTGGAGACAACATTGCTTTATGTCTTCTCCACCTGGGAAAAGGGATAGGAGCACACCCTCATCAAGTTTGCAGATGACACCAAACAATGATGGGGACAGGACAACTCAGAACATGGGAGAGGCTCCCATTCAGTAGGATCTTGACTGGCTGGAGTGATGTGCTGATGGAGAATTTGTCGAGTTCATCAGTCCTGCACCTGAGAAACAGTACACCAAGGGACCTGGGGCTAACTGGACACCGTGCCGTCAGGAGTTGCAGCCATAAAGGCCAGCCCTGTACCAAGCTGCATAGTAAAGGCATGGCCAGCAAGGTCAAGGAGGTTATTTTCCCCCTGTATTAAACACCTGTAAGCCACATCTGGAGTACCGTGTCCAGTCCAGGCTCCTCAGTACAAAACCAGATGTTGACAAACCTGAAACAAGTCCAGCTGAGGACCACCAAGTCGTTCGAAGGCTGCAGCACATGACACGGCTCACAGGAGGCTGAGCTGGCTTGGTTCAGTGTGGAAATTAAGGCTGCAGGACCTGCAGTCTTCAACCACCTAATGAACAGTTACAGAAAATACGGAGCCAGGCTCTTCAAAAGGCAACAGGCAAGTTTCAGCAAGCGAATCTCTGACTGTACACTGGAGAGAAGTTTGCATGGAAGATGCTGCTAAACCGGAGCAGGCAGCCAGAGAGGTTGTCGAATGCCCATCCCTGGAGTTATGCAAAACTTGGTGGGATGCAGCCCTGAGAAACTTGACCTAGTCTCCAAGTCAGCCTTGCTTTGGCCAGGAGCTCGACACAGATGACCTCCAGAAGTCTCCCCAATCTACATTACTCCACGATTCTGAAAACTGAAGAGATCAATGCAAGCTTCCCACTGTGGCTAACAAAACACACAGGTGTCTCTGTTACCTCATGCTGTGTGACGCTATTCCAATCCCTTGAGATAAATTCCACAGTATCAATTTTACCTTACGCCCTCATTGACAAACAGTCCCGGCTGCACAAGCATCAGCTACAGATGACTGGTCAAAAGCATAAATCCTGCAAGTAATGGCACTGAAATTCAGGAGCGACCTTTATCTCTACGCAAGTAAAGCCGCCCAATTCCAGGCCCTGGTTCTTAGAAAACCCCGTGAAACCACATGGTTTGGATAAGATCGACAACTCAAGTCCCGGCCTTTTTTGGCTCCTCACGACAGCTCAGGTCACTTCTTTAGCTTTTTGTGTCAGACACATGAAGAGAAATAGCACGAACAGCAGCTAGTACCCGTTGCAGAACAGAGCATTCAGACACGTACCTTTCTAGATACACCTGAGCTAAGATTTTGTGTAGACTGAGAATTTGTCCCTAAAAGCATGAGGTTTTCCTACAGCCGTAGCAGACCTGTAAGAATATTATTTCCTTAGCTTAACTTTGGCTTGCTTCTTTGCATACGCTTTCCCAAAAATTCAAACCCTACGATCCGGAGACAATACCACAGCTGTAGCTTTAGGGTTTTCAACCACTGACTACATATCTACAGATTTTTTTTTTTTCCAAAAATTAACATTTATTCGTAAGTTCATACTATCAGCAATCCTTTGAGAGGAATTATGCTCTTAAATAAGCTGAAACAATAAGATGTAAAGCTAATAATGGTCTTGGGTTTATGAACACCTTACCTGAAAGCAGACGAGACATCCATAATTAGCAAGAGTGTGGCAAGCTCCTTTCAGCAGTGTCTCAGAGTCTCTAAGTGGTAATACAAAAAACAGCTACTAAAATTGTGACCTTTTGCACATTAGTTGCACATTTCTTTGTCGTTTACTCTTTCCTATGCTTGTAATAAGCAAAATGATTGCCTATGGCATCGTGTAGCTGTTTGTCTGTCTCGTTGTGACTAGTGCTACTGTTCACATTCTCCACCACACCTTCTACTCAGAGAAACAGGAACATTCAATGCAGATTTACTAAAAGAACTCTTTTCCAGTTGATGGTAATTACATGTAACAATGACTTTATCGCGACAGAGAACGTAGGAATGGTGAAGAGGACATGCTCCAGTGGCTAACCGGATATGCTAACCGTATTTTCCCTATTGTGTCACGAATTCTAGGAGTCAGGAAAGAATACAGAACACTGGGATTCTTTAAGAAATCTTGTACTAGTCTACTTCTGGAACGATTAAACATCTGTGACAGATAGTCTACCCATTCCATATAGGGAAACATTTATGTAGTACCATCAGTTAAAGCTTGAAGGAAAGTAACAGCTGTTCAAACCAGTTTACCAAAAGTAAGCGTACACTGAGAAGAAAAAAAAACATAACTGGAGGCAAAAAGAGGGTATGTCTGTCTATAGCATAGACTCCTTCATAAATAAGTAAACAAATAATACTCTTAAGTTTGCTAGGGTGCCCGTTGAGCCACATGATTAACCACAGCTTGCTCTTGCTTTTAACACCGCATCAGTCTGGAAGGAGCAGGAATTAGAAGTCTGTGCCCAATTCGCACAATAAAGCTCCCAAGAACCTATACCTTCTGCCCTCCACCTTAGCTCCTTTTCTTTTGCACATCTTCCTCTCCCCAGGTAGCAGGCACCAGTAAAGAAAAACGATAAAGTTCGTTTACCTGAGCTGAATTTTCTTTTTTTTTTTTTGGATGGATGGATAATTCTGCCAGATAAATGAACTTCCAAATATTAGAGAACAAGAGAAGGGACACAGAACAGTCAAGACAGAACGCTTTTGTTTCATGTCAATATTTCTTTAAATCCCAATCCAGCTCCTAGTAAGACTGGACACTACTTACAACACACTCCTAGAACTGCAGAAGAATGGAAACACAATAGGGAGCGAGTGGAGAGGGGGACGAGACAGCCCGGCGGCTGGCTTCAGACATTCACATACACAAAGCCAGCATCCACCGGAGTCGTTAAGGCCCAGATGCCCCACTAGTAGGAACAAACCCAAACACAAGGGTAGCACATGAAATGTATTTACCTATTTAAACACAGGCAGCTGGTCAGGCTAGAATGGGGAAGGTAACTGCTAATTCCTTGTACTACAAGGAAGGAATGGAGTAAAAAAACCCAAGCCCACGGGCAGGTTTTTGCTTTGTGAACCTCTGTCTGTGCTGCTGGTTAACAGTGGTAAGTATAAAAAAATCAAAGAAAAATAATCTATTTATAGAACAAGTCAGTAGTCTGAGACATTTAGAAAAAAGTAAAAACAAGTCCTTCTTTAAAAATGGATTTACTAAAACAACTGTCACCCAGGATGACCCCAAGCCCTCTGGTCCTCTGGCAAAGCCAGGGGCAACTTCACACCAGAACTGTTGCTGATTGTACACTGGTACACATCCAGCAAAGCCAGCAGGGAGGGGGGTTTGCGCTGCGAACAGTATCTGCAGACTGCTTGCTGGTATCGCTTGAGGCCATGCCCGTAGCCTGGTGATACTGGAAATAGTTGAGAGTGAAACTTTTCACAGAAGCGTATGTCAGTGTAACCTCTGAGGTAAGTGGGCTGTCTTCTTTCCTTCCCATCCCTGGGTACAGATCACAGAAGCTGGTGCCCTGGGTGCTGTACCTCCTCGCCAGCTCCATCCTGCGTGCGACAACTTTAATGTGCAGGAGTGCAGAACTCTAAGCAAAGCCTAGAACAGGAGAGGGCACCCCTGTGGAAAGGGAAGCACTCTGCTTTTCCCAAGCTCTGGTCTAGCTAGACATCTTCATCAATGTTTTCTGGCCCTCCTCAGGACAGGAAGATCAGCTGTTTCCCACTAAGGAAAAAACCAAACATTTTGTCTAGTAGAGTAGAGTTGGGTTTCTTTTTTGGTAAACAGAACCTTTGCCGATTTCTGAGATCACGAGCTCCTCTGCCCCATAGCTACAAAAGAAAAATTAAAAAAAATTCATCCACTTGCTCCCATCCTTATAGTGTAGTGTTAGCTGCCTGGATACGGAGGCAACTTGACTCTCCCAAGACATTGCCCTACTCACTGGGTTGGCATGGGGAGGCGAAAGATAACTTTCAAAGTCACCTCCTCAGGGTAACCTGATAGGCCTAACAGCTCCAGCCTCTGCCCACCGACTCCAGGCCAGCTCCGCTGCCAACGCATCCTTCTAACACCCTGCAGTGTCTAATCTAACAGCCTCGGGTTTGCTCAGTCTCTAAGAGCAACAGCCACACTCAAAGATGGAAATGCTCAAGTCAGAAAACACCGGCTGGAGCTCCTGCTCAGGTGGTGTCTGCATAGATGAGTTGGTACCGCTGTGCCTTGACGTCTCCATTGTGTGAAGGAAGCCAGCTGTAAGGAAGGGACCAACTCTGCTGCAGGTCTGTACATCCTTGGAAGTGAAGCTCAGTGGCTACATTAGCTTCAAACCCTTCTCTTTCTGTAGGGTTTCAGTGGTCCGTTTCCCAACAAGTTCCAGGCATTGAGTAGTTGCTAACTTGTCTCCTTAAGATCTTCCATTGGTAGTTTGTAGCTCAACAAGAAAGGAGGCGGCGGTGCATGGGCAGGGCTACTTGGTCCCTGCATTGGCTTCTTTGCACAGTTTATACAGATGTAATCCTCGTTCTCAGCCATTTCGGGAGAGACACCAACACACACTTGATGAAACCACTCATCGCAGCCACCGTCACACTGCACCCAGTCTACCTGCAAGAGATCACATCAGCAACACGTCGCACATCAGAAGGACAGACAGGCACAGTTTCTGCAAAGAAAATACGTTCTGTGAAACCCACTTGATGTACCTTGAACACAAAAGCTTTTGGGCACAAGTTAATGCCCTGTAGAGCTTGCTTTAACAAGCTGCTTCCATGTAAGAAAAACTAACACTCTTCCAGCAAGCCTTGCCCATCCTTAGACCATCCCAGTACAAAGACGGACTGCTCCCACTGAGGAATACAGCACTCGGCACTCCTCACATCCAAGATGGGTATGCTGGAACACCTTTAAAATAGGAGCTTGCTCAGGAAGAGCTACTGCAGCACAGATGAGATGCTACAAATACCCATGCTAAGTTATATATCTTAGGATTGCATCAAGTGGTAGCTTCTGCAACATCAAAACAACAGAAAACTGAATGACTTGATTACTGCTTTTGGCTACAAAAACATGACAACAGCAGCTTTAATACTATTCTACCAGGCAGGTACCAGGTACACGGCTGGCCACCGAACGCCAAAACAACCGCACACAGACTGTACCTCCAAAGTGTCAGAACATTCAAAATATTTCAGACTTTGAGCTAAACATGCTATTGAACAATTAGGAGACACATGAAAAGTAAATTAAAACTTAAGAAGGAAAAAATACTAATGATTAGATTTCTGTACCTCCCCAGGTGAGAGTACATGTTGAGTCCGTGGGCAGAAGCCGAGACCAGCGTGATAAGGAACACAGATTCTTAATTGTAACGGCACGCACTGGTGCGGGTATAAGAATACTGCTGCCCAGAAACACGCTGAAGTCAGGAGCGTTTCTAGCTGAGTCACAGCACTGATGCTCTGTGTCAGACAATGCGTGTTGCACAGCCAGCAAAAAACCCACACAGCTTCCCAACCGAGACAGTGTCTTTTCCCAGATTCTAATTTTCCATCTTCTTCCCTTGTTTTAAAGTACCTAAGAGAGTAAGGAAGTTCTTGTAGCTTTACTTCCCACATCTGTGTACCTGCCCAAGGACTACTCAACCCTCTCTCATTCCCAATCACGCTGCTCACGCTGTTGAGCTGAACTATTAAACTGCGCTGGGGTTTTTTGACTCTGCACACAATTGCCTACGACAGAACTAAGCAACAACTCACTTTGTCCTTGCAGGGCCTCTGGCAGTTCTGCGCAGCACACACAGCATTCTCATCATCTGACTCCTCCGCTCCTGACCAGTCGTACTTGGAAGGAATATCCAGAACCTTCTTCTCTCTCTTCTTCTCTGTGCTTTCCTTCGCTAGTTCCACCTTTGCCACTACTGCCTTCTCTCGCTTCTTCTTCCGCTCCTCTTCCTTAGCCAGTTTCTTTGCCAGCTTGTTCAGCTCCTTGGTCTTATCCATGGTGAGTTTTAGCTTCTTCTTCTTGGGTTTTTCCAGTTTTTTCAGCTCTTTAGATTTTTGCTTCATCTCTCCGAAGAACTGCTCTGCTCTCTCCAGCTTTCGTTTCCGCTTCCTCTCAGAAGAGTCTCTGCCTCTCATTTTCAGTGGTTTCTCATCCATACTGTCATCCTTCATAAAAAGGGAGAAAGGTTTTTTTTCACATGCAAATTTCCATCTACTGCAAACCTGTGGTTTGAGAGACATGCTTACCTCCACCATTACCCTGACACGGTATGAAGAAACCTCAACAACAACCTACTGTTACAAACTGTAAACAAAAAGGGGCTCAACTTTATTTTCACCATATTAAGAAAAAAAATCGCAAGTGGTATCAACTGTGTCAAAGTACCATGAACCAAAAACATCCAGAGGAAAACAGTAACTTGTCAGCAAGGGTAAGAAGGCAGAATAAGCAATAATTAGAACTCCCTTCTCACACTGCTTTTTAATAAGTGTTGAGAAGATTAATCATTCATTAGATGTTCTTGCTTATTCTTCATCCTAGGCCAGTCTTGCCTGTAATTATTTTTGAGAGAAAGCAATTGCTATTCTGGAGATTAAGAAAGAGCAATTGGTGAATTCTTAAAATGTATCATCAACTCAAGCAAGAGCAGAAAGCAACAGATCCATTATTTGAATAGCTCCCAAACCGGCACACGTCATAAGCATCCTGGTGTCATTAACAACTCTTAAATAGCAGATTCAGTTCAGAAACGAGGCTAAAATTGGCTAACTCTGTCACTGCAGGTAGCATCCACAGTACAAGTCTTATTTATATCTGAAAGATTCACACATGTATAGCTCTTGTACCAGCAGGGCTGACTCAGTTCCAGTCAATCCAGCTATCTACTTTAACCTTAATGATTATTAATAGGTTAAGGACATACTCTAAGCCAGTAAAGGAAGACTGTATTGTACATTACTTCATACAGCTACTCCACCCAGAAACAAATCCTCTGAAGATTATTTTACAAAAGTCTACTTATTTTGCATGTAAACAGACATAGAAAAGTATTCAATTAAAAATTAATAGTTCTAGTCAAACAAGTATTCATAAGGGTTAACGAGAAAATCTTAAACGCACACCCCCCCACCCTCCCCTAGACAAAAAAAACTGTGCTTAACTATTAATATAACAGTCTGGCATGCTATTTCTAAATTGCTACCTGCTGGCATTCAACCTGTTCTTCAATCAATTCCATGCCAAAACCACTACATTTAAAGAGCATTAAGCTTATAAAGTGAAGTACTTGGGTCAAAACATGGTAAAGCAGTACTTCCTTGGCAAGAGGGTCTGCTCTGTACTACTGTCCTAACTGATGGCAGCGTGGCAGTGCCCTGACTTCTCCCCTGTATATGGAATGCACTCAGGACAGGAGACAGCTGATGAATATGCTCATCCAACCTGAGTGTTTACAGCAAGTAACCTTCCATCCTACCTTAGTGTGCATGACCAGAAGTCAAGAAAGAACCACCTTCCATGTATTTCCTGTGCAGTTCAGTAACTCTAAAGCAATCATACACTCCATAACGACCCATGGTTAAACTGGACCCTATCTTCAGCTGACAGATGGTACAGGATGGGTTCCAGTACAGCTCCTTGACACAAGAGTTTACCTTCTCTTCCAGAACACACCCCTCAGGCACTGCATTCATGAGGCCAAGCGACTTGGACTAGACCTCAGAATCATCAGATAAGGCTGCCTCTTCCACTGTCAGCTGAGCAGAGAGGAGCACATCCTCACAGTATATTAATTATTAATTTTCAAAAAACTCTATGTTATTCTAAGGAAGAACAGGGATCTTATTACCTGTGTTACTAAACCATGTTTTATTTTTAAAAGTGTTCTTCCCCCAGTAAGAACAGAAGTTCAGCAACGTACAAGTATCAAGTTCTAATCTATGTGTAGCCTTTCCATAGTCCTAAAAGTTTGTCATTCTTTTGCAGATCAGTTCTGATTCCATAATTAAAACCAGCATTTCCTTTCCTAACCTTATCTTGCCTAAAATAAGGCTTGCATATGGAACTGCCTGACAAAACTGTTCTAAATATGGTTAATTGTGGAAGACAGTGCTGCAGCATGAGTGATCAAGAACTGAATTTTTGGATCTTACTCTGTTATTTTCTGGAATCTACTATTCCCCGGTTAAAATCCAAACATGTCAAGTGACTAAGCACTCACTCAACTACCCAAGATTATACTTAAAAAAAAAAGGCACCAAAATATCGTGAGGTGTTTTTTCTATACCGAAATATTTCTTGAAATTCCATACCTCCATGACATGAAGGAACCTGTCCTCAGAGGGTGGGTGTGTAGCCTGTAAAATCCGCCAGATGTGCTGAGTCTCATCCAGTGATACCTCTAGTAGATCTCCAACCATCATTAGATCTTCTAGCTGCGCTTTTGCTCCAGGTGACAGCTCCAACACAGGGGGCTCCAAACTGCGAGGTACCAGTGGACTCTTCCGAGGCTGCTTCCTTGGAGTGCTAGAACCTTTCAGACAGGAGGCAAGTCACATAAAGATAAAAGATCAAATCCAAAAAAAAATTACATACTTTTTTTTTTTTTAATTTTTTTTTTTTTTTTAACAATCCGAGCAGGGAGACAATCCCAAGCAAAAACCATTGACACAGCTTTATAGATCAGATAAAGAAACAACTGCAGCTTATTACAGCCAACATACCCTCTACAGCTAGCCCAGGTAACAGAGCAGTTCCCCTTCTTGCTGACTGCTCATCTGTTCACTTTTATCTCCATGTACAGAGAAGCAAATACCTTGAGAGCAGCTTTTAGAAGCAGACGAATACGCGTGTTCAGCACAGAACGAGGGAGCAGTCCACATGTGTGTCACTACCTCTTCTGATTTAATGGGGATTTCCTCATCACAAAACAAATTGGGCTCCAAGCTGCTGGAAGATTTTACACTGGCATTGTCCTGAAAGAGACCCACAGAAAACATGCAACATCTGGACCCAGAAAATTAACAATTTCAAAGTAAATCGTATTAAGACCAGCCAGCCTGCTCTTCTAAAATCCTACTCTGAAGCAGCCACCAAAACCATGTGCAAAAGGTACAAGTTACATCTCTGCATAAAGAGTGGATGGCTCTATGGACACAAGTCAATAGATGTATAGCCAGTCTGCAAGAAACAGGTTTCCTCACTAAGCAGTCACTCAAGTATGGTCCTTAGAAGTCAACATAATGACAAGAGGCTGACTCTTGGCCTATGTAATTTTTTTTGCTTGAAAAACGTGACCCCAACACCATAAAGATTTGTATCTTTATTCAAGAAGGGGTATGCTGAGTAAGTAATGGTTAATATAGAAAAAAATTACTAAAGATATTACAGGTGAGGAAAAAACAGGGTGTGTTTCATTATAACCAGACGAATAATGGCAAGGCAAACAATCAAACACTGCCCTGGGATTGGGACTTCTATGGCAGTCTTGAATCATTTTAACATAGGACTTTAGGACAGGATTTTAAGATAGGACCAAACACCAAAAGGAAGAGGGCCATAACACTTGATATTTCCATGAACAGAGTAACAATGGCATTGGCTTGTGCTCAATGTATTGCGTAGGACAGCTGCTTGACTCTTAGCTGCATCACACTGAAATGGGACACATGCCTCCAGGTGCAGGTGGATCCACTAAGAGAAGGTGGATGAGGAATCACTTAGCAGCGGGAGAAGCTTGGTTTGACTTTGCGTTACATTAGGCAGAGAATCCAGAGAAGGCACAAGCCCACCTGAATAAATTCCCTGATGATGACTAGTATTCATTTCTCCCCTCTTCCTCCTCATTCCTGCAGGTGAAATTAATAAGGATAACCTCCTCAACCAGCTGCCTATATCCATAGGACTTTGTGACAAAACTGGTCAAGAGGTTAAAGCATACTTAGCATGCCGTGTAAGACTGAAATCTTTCAGAATAACAAGAAGCTGGCTTAAAAGAAGAGAAAGGCCTTAGAGCAGTTATTGACAATATTTACCTGAAGATTAGCCGTGTGGGTCCCAAAATGGCCAACTCAGGAAATTGTACCACCCAGACAGACACTGTCATTTCATGACATAAAAAGGGAATTTAAGAACGGTAATCTCTCTCTGGCTTTCAGTTACACGTTTAAAAGGAAGTGAAGTGCACACTAATGACTTCAGTACAGAACTAGAAGTGGGAAATTCAAATTTAAATTGCCTAGATGAAAAGGTAGAACAAATATATTCAGAAAGAGGAAGATATTCCTCCCTACATAGTAAAGGTCTAGTACATATATCTAGTACAAATATCTAGTACAATATCTTGTTCTGGAGATATTATACTAGATCAAAGAAAGTTCAGGGCCAAAAGGGAAATTAATAAAAAGACATCACCATTTGGTGGCTATAGGCAACACAGGTGCAAAGGAACAAGAAAAAAAAAAAAAACCATGAAACAAAAATGAGGGCAATTAAATATGAAGAAATTTACAGTGATTTTGACCAGTAGGTATCCAAGGATTACTTCTAAGGGGTCCACAAGTAGTTATTAAAAGCAAATTCATAAATGATGCATCAATAATCTTTTTTTTTTTTCCAACGTACCACTCCACTGGAAGATGTTCATAGGCCATGAACTTAAAAACCAATCCTTGAAAAAGTCACTGGAAAAAAACAATCCTTGAAAGCCAAGGCTACAAAAATAATTACAAAAAAAATAACCATGCTGTATCTCTTGAAATTTGCTGCTTCTAGTTTAGACCTGAAGAATTTGGTTGCCTGAGAACGTGTCTTCTATTCCAACCATGTTAGTTGACCTAACAAAAGACATTTCTGGTCCCTATCAACTTTGTTTCAACAGATTTTTACAACTACATATAGTGATGGACATCCAAATCAAAAAGGTAAGTAACAGAGTTTGAAATCGTGACAACAGAATCATTAAACAAACGTAATTATACTCCTGCAAAAATCTCAGATCCTGACAAGCATATGCCATCTTTCTTGACATGTGCTTTATCACAGCCTCAGAAAATGCCACATCTTTCAGAAATGCTCCTGACTCCTAATGCAAAGAACAGTTTGGAAGGGTAGGGTGTTGTTTGTTTTTTTTTTTAATAAAACTAATTTAATTAAAAGCTGTAACATCCCATTGCACTGTACCAATGTACTTCTGTTGGCATTTCACATGGGACTGCAAGACGAATATATGTATTTGCATAAAGCTGCTTAGACACAAATACTAAAATAGGAGACTGCGGCAAACCGTACCTGGAAAACTTGCTGTCCCTTTATAAACCAAAAATTTTGCCTTAGAAGAATTTATGTGACCATACTGTCTTTTAAGTTAGCATCTTTTAAGTTAGATATGACACTATCACTAATAAGAAACCACTGCACAAGAAGAACAGTGGCATTGCTTTTGTCTCTACATAGATCAAAAGATGTTTCAGAAGTTCCGAAATGAACTACATCACACCAAAAATACCTGGCTATCTCCACAATTTGCCCTTTCTCCTGACAGTTCTTACCTAGTTAAAATATTTTTAAAATCCAACTGCAGTTACAACTTCTGACCTGAATTCAAACACTAATTTGACAACATGACCCAGAGATCTAGTCCTGAATATTTTCACACATCCAAAATTAAACAGATGTACCTGCTTTATATGAGCATTGAAAGATCAGGAAGGTATGAAAACATGAAAGAAGATCTGGCATGAGGAAACATCTTACAGGGCATGCAGTTTTCAAAGACTAATATTTTGCTGTAGCCAAAACCAGTTGAAGAGCTCTCCACATAGACACTTACTCATATTTGTGATCCATGGTATCTCTGAATGGGGCATAAAGACAACCTTCATCCTCCGTGATATTATACACACAAATCCCTTGAGAAGTGTATCTTTTTCCTTAGTACTAAAATGCACCTTTTGAAACTCAATCACAGGACACTTGGAAATTTTGAATAAAAACATTACAAAACTTCCCAATAGCCCAGAGCTGAGACATGCAGGAAAAATTAAGTACCTCTTCTGCAACAGGAGCCTAGGTAGAACGTACAGACGTATCTTAAGATGTGAAAAACATTCTGAAATAAATTGAGTTAATAAAAAACAGGTGGTCTGGATTAATTCCATACAGAGAAGCCACACTGGATTACTCACCTTTATGTCGTAGCCATAAGTCTCCCTGATGTCTTCATCAGAATCTGTCTCTTCATCGTCGTAATCCAACGTCTGCCGCGGGGATGAGGACACACTCCCTATCACTCTGTTAAATGCTGATTGCTGGAAATTAGTCAAGTGTCCCTAAAAGAAAAATGGAATACGGGGATGAAACAACACAATTTCCAGAAAAATCCATTAAAAAAAAAAATCTGAGTTACTAACAAAGAACACAGTGGTTCTTTTGGCCTGAAAATGACTGCCTGGACAGTCACAAGCAAGCATAGTTACAGCAAGAGCTGAAGAAAGATAGGGCAGTATCCAAGGGAAAGGTTCTATTAGGTTTTATTTCCATATTTTTGAATAATAGTGATTAGAAAGATCATGATACTGTTGATTAGTGCTACCAAATTATACCCTGTGGTTGTACAAACTTGTTCAGCACAGTTTCCTCCAATTACTGGTCTCAATCTCAAGAAGACGACAGCCTTAAAAGTACCAGTGACTGCCTACAGGCCTGGCTGAAATTTGTTGGAGAATGACAAACCATCAGAAATGATAAATATTGAGACCTTTGATTCTGTCAAGAGGGAAATGGCATTTGGACACTGAAGTAGCCACCGCTTCACACACCTTCAGGCCCTTAACCACCTGTTACAGCTGAACTGATGTTTCTTACAAGCACCTTCAGGCAGCTGCTAGTGACCATGAGTACAAAGCAACAGACCTGGTGTTGGAACAGTATGTACCTGCCTGAAGCCAGTCATAGCCTGAGACTGAGGAGCACTGAACTAACACCGACATGCTTAATTCTCATCTTTTAACTGCCCTCCCCTCACCCCACACTTCTCCAAGGAAGACAAGGCATTTCAACACACTGAAGGAGGACACACAAAGTCCTTACCTGCAGGTCTGGGTTAGCTGCTGCTTTCTGTAGCTCTGCACTGATTATCTTCTCAGTTTTCTCCCGCGCTGCCTGCTCCACCATGCGTTGGCTGAGCACAGAAAGCTTAGCCAAAGCAGAGGACAGCTCGTCGGTGGCCAAAGCCTGCCGCGCTCGGTCTTGCCAACTCATGGCTCGTTCCGTCAAGCACTGCAATGCCTCCCCCTCCGGCAGCCGCACAGGCAGCTTCTGCAGGGACACCAGCAGAGACAGTATGGTCTCAAGCCGCGGCCTTCGAGAACGCATGCAAAGTGGACACAGAAACTTCACTTCTTTGGCCTGCCAACTAGAGCCCTTCTTCTGAGAACCTGTTTTGGGAAGAGGCACGCAGCCACTATGAAACCAGTCTTTGCACAGCTCACACTGTAGCATAAATCCACTAGCTGTTTTGCGGCAGATACAGAATTTGACTTCTTCGATCCGATCCACCATAGTCATCTTGGCCAGGTTAGCTGCCCTGAGAGCATGCATGGCTTCGATCTCTTTCTGTTCCCGCTCCTTGAATATAGCCACCTGCCCAAAGACAAAAACAGTTCATGACCTTCACAGTTAAATAGACCACCTTTTATCAGCAACGTAGGAAAAGAAAATTTTAAAAATAATATCAAGATATCTTCCTAGTTAAACTAGCCAAAATTCAAGAATTGTGTGATCCAATTAAAACTTTAGCTAAAATACCTCCTCCTCAATTCCTCATTAGTCCCTTCAGTCCTTCCTTCTGACAGAGATTCTACGTAAATGTTAGATAACCTTTTCCGTATCTCCAAAGTTTCTGAAGGTCATAATTTGTCATAAGGCCACCAGAAGAACAAGTTTTGACCTCAGGAAAGAAGTCTGATCAGTTCCATCCATCTGTCTACCGACAGAATGCAGCTGAGCATTGTTTCAATGCTGACTCAGCACCAGGAGCCACTGAGTGACCACTTATCTTCCTGAAGCAACTTGCACTTCCTCAGCATCTCCATTCAAGTAACTACAACAAAGCATACTAAGGTAAAACAGACTGTGTACAACTGCATTAATGAGCCTGCATATATTTTCTTTGTTCCCAGAGAAAAGGGCAGCCAGGTAACAACAAATTCCTCTGATAGGCCGCATCAATAACCTCCCAACAAGGAGGAATCAGGTATAACATTCCCCCCAGCCCAGTTTCTATGACCAAGCACTTATAGACTGCCCTCAGAATCAACCTAACCAAATATGTTTTGCCACTGTTTAAGGCAGAACTGTGCCTCATTCCACATTATTTTGATCTCATTTCAATAAATGTTCACAATATTAGATGAACAGCCACAGATATTAAATCAAGAGCATTTAAGTCTTACACATTACCCAACACATAAAATACCAGCACTTAACTCTGAACTGTGCTTCCCTCTGCTTTCACTGCAATTAAAGCTGAACTATATGCCGGTGTCAAACATTGGATGATGAGATATCTGTCTCAGTGAGATTCGTTTAGCACTTCTTCCATAAGACTTTCACACAGGTTAGAGACAAATTAAAGCCACGTATCAAGAGACACTACCTTTCGTTGCTCCTTACCACAGCTGCAGTGTCCCTGGCCTCCTCCAGCCCATCCTCCAGTTCACTTAGGGATTCCAAGTCAAGATCTTTCTCCTTTTCCTTCTCCATCAACTCCTTTGCCCTCTTCCGCCTATTCTTACTGCTCCCATAAACACCAATATCAGTCCGAGGGCTCAGAACCTGTAAGCACCAAGAAAACTTACACTGTCAGAGCCAAGGGTGCCGAGAACAGAAAAATGTTCTGAACTACAAAGCTGTGATTTCAGGGACACACGTGAGAACATCTAATAAAAGGCATTACTACAGGTTCAACAGAGAGCAAAAGAACTCAGCAATCTATCACCTTTGTTATTTGTTCATTGAGATTGGTCAATTAAAGTTAGGAAGAGGAGAAAGAAACAGAAAAGGATACAAGTATTTCATAAATATGGAATTTGAATGTAATCAGCAGCACAGTGATGTGGCAGGTCAACTTAAAGGCGCTGTATTTTCGTAATCAAATGACAAAATCTGTTCAGATTAACCTATCATACATAGAGCTAACTGAAATACTACATGTTGTTAGACATCAGCAGTTTAACGTTCACTTCAAGTGCTTCCATCAATTGCAAGTCAAAGATCTGCCATGATTTCGTATTTACATCAGCAATTTGGTGGCTGAAACAAAATTGTCAAGTATGTTACATGCCTTTTAATATCAAACATGAGAGGCTGCAAAGCACTTTTAAGGACCACAATTAAATTTTAAGTAAGCTTGAATAGTTAGAAGGCATACTTAAATATAAAATCAAGCAAGTTAAATTCAACATGGAAAAGGTCAAATTGACACATTTAGGAAAACAGTCAAATGCAAAGCCAGACCATAGTAAATAATTAGTTAGGCAGAAAAATACAGAAAAGAATACAGTGCATCATAAACTGAACAGAAATCAGCGCGATGTTGTTGCAATAGGGGCAGATCCCACTGGAAAGATTAGATAGCAGTATCCCTTTGAGGCACAAGATGTAATTATTGCACTTCACATGGCACTAGGGAAGCCATAGTGAGAGGATTCTGTCTGGTTTTCGACACCACACTCAAAGTGAAGACAAACGGCAGAGAACAGCAACAAGAGCATGAAAAATAGAGTCTACAAGAAAGCGTTGGAAGAACTGGAATTGTTTTCCCTAGAAAAAGAGAAGCCTGTCAAGTAGATGTGATAAATCTTCAAACACATGAATGATTTTTATTAAAACAAAGACAATGACTACGTTCACTGAAGTGAAATAAACAGTGACTGACAATTTTTCTTATAGAATCATAGGATGGTTTGGGTTGGAGAGGACCTTACAGACCACCTAGTTCCAATCCCCCTGCCATGGGCAGGGACACCTTCCACTAGACCAGGTTGCTCAAAGCCTCATCCAGCCTGGCCTTGAACATTTTAACTTATCAGTTTATAAGATATCTAATCTATTTTCTTAGAATTGAAGGAGAGGAAGAAGTGAAAACATTCAAAGACAGCTTCTATGTCCATTTCAGGTCTACATTTCAACAATTACATAAAAAGCAAAATTCTTTTCTTCCCAAAAGGGAGTGTTAGTAGCAGTTGAGGTTGTCAACACATAAAACAAGGCTAACTGAACACAGACTTTTTGCCTTTTTCATTCTTTCCACCCAAGAACAGCCAGAGTTTTTTGATACACTCTATCCTCAAAAGCAGCTGTGACCTGCTGTAACCTTTTTTTCCCTCCAGACCAGAGGGCCACCGAGATCTGTTCCTGAAGGCTGACACAGAAGTGTCTGTTGCTCACCTGTAACAGACTGTAGCTCGAGTTCTTCTTCAGGAAGGTCCTGCCTGTGCGCTCTCGCCAGGCCCGTGCTGCAGCCACCTGCGACTCCAGCTGCGGCAGGGCATCGAGACGCACGGGTATTGGGCGGCCTTTGGCAGACAAGCTCTCCAGTTGCTCCAGGTAGGCATAGTTGCTCCCGTTCTGGGGTAAAAGACATTTTTCTAAGCTAACGATTCTACCATTGTACCAGTTGCCAGCTTAATGTCAAGACATATGCTATTCTGTCACTGACTACAACAGAGTTCCAGGGAAAAGGAGAGCAGGGATTCAATTTTAATGATATCTCAAAACTCTCTCACACAGTTTTTATTTTAGGAGCCAGCCTGAGATGGCCAGCTGGCTTACAGAGTAAGACGTTTCATTTCTAGATAGTGGTCTTAAGTGCTGTCAGCTGAACAGCAAGCTGCAATATCCGAGTGTTGTACAGGGGCTGATGGGAAATCAATGGGGATTCTCAGTTCCGTTCCCAACAAATACCCTGATACAAGAATAGCAGTTGCAGTCCAGAGATCAACACCTAGAAATATCACAGAGGCCATGTCCCTTTTGGATCCAGTTATTTGGTCAGAGCAATAGAAGGGGGAGCGGTACTGAACTAACAATGTCATAACTCCATCTATTTCAGACAGAAAATTTCAGCCGTCAGTGCCATTACATCTTACACCATTTGGGGGAGAAAAAACGAAAACCCCTTTCCATAACCAGCTCCCACAGCTGAAGACGTGTGAGCTGACCATCTTCCGCTACAGCTAAGTATTTCCAGCGACAGTATGCAGAACATTTTCAGCACCAAGTAAGGCCCTCTGAGAGTCACATTTGTTCCAAAATGAATTTAACAGCTTTTACATCCCCCATGAAACGCATCAAAGGAAGGGAAATAGAAATTGGACAGCCAATGGGGAACAGCGGCACAAAAAGAAAAAGAAATTCAAACACACAAGCCACGGTAAACGTGTTTAACAGCTACAGCAAAGTTTTCCCTTCACGTCACCTTTGTGGGTAGAGAGGGTGGGAATAAAGAACAGGTCTAAATAAAAGGATGGAATCGGAAGATTACAGGCCCTGCTGTAACCCCTACCTGAATGGCCTCCACCTTGGCTGTCCAGTCTCTAGCCCGCTGCAGGGCTTCTTTCAGTGCCAGCACATTGGGCAGGTAAGCAGGGATGTTCTTTGCTTCATTCACGATGCCCTCCAGAGCCATCATACTCTGGCGTGGTCTAGAGAAAGAAAAACACAATTCCAGGCTTCCCTCAAAACGCCATTCAGCTAAAGACATAAATTTGACAGGCTGCTGATGAAACTTCATCGCTACACGGCGGCGTAGGCCACCACGGCTCTACTCCTGGAGGGTGCTACTGCCTATCAAACAACAGGAGAGGTTGAGAAAGCTGATGGACCTCGAGCAATCAAGTTCAAAAGGGCACAGCATCAGAACTCCTTTAACATCGGGGAAGATGTCTTGCGTAGCATACTTCAGTGTTTTTTGTTGAGGGGGATGAACAGCAAAGACAGTGGCAATTCACGGCCTCCCGCCACTACGCAACATGACGTGTAATCAACTCTTCTGCAACTCATCAACAACCTTAAACCCAACCCCGGAGCAACCCAACTGCTGTGAGGTAAACAAAAGCACTACAGCTTCAAAGCCCGTACTTCCCACCACACTCTGCAACAGAGGCTGAGAATCCCTGAAGCGTGTGATCTGTAAGATATTTGTTTGATAAGTTTGCAAAGGAACACTCACCTGGCCTGCAGGCAGACCTTGGCCTTCTCCTCCCACCTCTCCGAGACTGTAAGCAGCTCCTGCAGCTCAGCCATGGCTTTCTCTACAGCATGGTGCGGTGCCAAGCCCACACCTGAGTCAATCAGCTTCTTCATCACGTCTAGGGTAACCCTCTGGGGATCCAAGAGGGTGGACCTCACCTCATCCAGCCACCGTGCCTGCTGCAGTTCTTGCTTCAGCCTTGGCAGTTCGGGAAGTTCTACGTAAAGGCCAGAGCCCATGTCTATCAACTCCTGCAGCTTGGAAGAGTCTGGGATCTCATCCATCATAGCTTCTTGAGCACGCTCATGGAATTCTTCTACATCATCAAGCAGATTCTGAAGTAACACACAGTACAAGTCAATTAGGAAAAAAGGTCCATGGAATCAAAAGGGAAAGTTGGCTGAGGGATCAGTCAGCTGCAAAGCTGTGTGATCATCACATGATCAGTCAAAGCTGCTACACACACCACCACCTATTTGTCACAAGCTAGCACGTCTGACACATTCAGCAACAGACCAGCTGACCTCCCTCATTTGGCCTAGTATTTCACACACTGTGCATATTAGATGAAACTCTGCACCTAAAATTGTACAACTGCAACTAACTACAGCTCCTAACAACACAGAGTATTAAGCACCGCTTGGTCACCATTTATTTTAAAACAGTGGGGGGGAAGGGGACTTCAGCAGAGTGTCCTTTCAATCTAGTGTCAGGGACATTACAGTAATGGCAGCAATACACAACAGAACACAACCTGCTGAGGAAAAAAGAACAAGCCAGAGTGGTACGAGGACATGAATACCAAAAAATCATTAAAATGACTATCGTCGGGTTTGAAATTACTGTCTCTGAAAGCAGATCCCCTACTTAAACACACCTGGGTTTTAGCTCAAAATGGAAGAAATGAAAATGCAAAAGCCTCTAATAAAAGGAGACAATTTCACAGCAACCCAACTGCACTGCTGCAGTTGTCCTCAACCTCATGTTTTTGCGCTGCAATGAAAAAAATCAAAAGAAAGCAAACAGACAGGAAAGAATCTCTGCAGGAGATTCATTCAAGGACATTCAACCAGTTTATTCAACTGACTCACTCCTGAGTCTCTTATAAAAAGACAGGTATTTTCGATGCACAATGAAGAGGAAAACCTACATTTCCTAACCCTTAACTTTCTGCCCTTTCTGTCTGATGCTGGAAACCAGAAGGCATTTACAAAAAAAGAGCAAGATCCACATTATAAGGATTTTGATTTAGGGAACATATGCTGAATGTTTCCTAGTGACAACAGTAAATTATTAGAGTTTAATAATTATAACGCCTTTTGTGTTAGAAAATACTCATCATCCAACACGACAATTATTCTGCCATTCATTACGATGGATAATTGCATTCAAATGCTGTGTTGGAAGTTAGCGAGTGCTTAGGCATAAGTGATCATTATCTGACTTCATTCAAAAACTAAGAGACTATGGTTAGTAACTAGTAAAATGATAATATTTGTTTTATTGGTTAGTGATTATGTTGAAGCTTCAAGAACACACAGACGCAGAGAGTACTTTAACAGAACCAGCTTCCTAATGCTGGGGCAGGGGAAAAAGAGACTGGTTGGGTGAAAATGTTCAGACAAAAATATGAATTAAAACCGTTAAGAGTTTATGGTAAGCTCTCAGGATTTGTAATCTATGAATTATGTCTTAATTAAAAGCAGGTTTAAAATAGACTAGAAACAAAGAACTCCTCTGAGACAACCTTAGAGTCTATTAATAGATGATTAATTCAATGAATAAATATTAGTATATATTTCTGGTTCGTATTTGGAAAGAAGTGTAGTAAAATCTTCCTATCACATGATGATAATATGGTTTCTACTCTACCAGCTGCTGTGAAACAAGTTAATTAACATCTATGAAAGATAGAAGATTAGTCAACAGGCCTGGAAAATCTGTATTCTGGCATTCTACAGTTTTCTGAAGGTACCTGTCCTCAGCAACAACATCCAGTACCACAGACAAGCAGAAAGTCTAATATAAAGTTTCCCCATGATCTCAACAATGAACTACTATGGAAAAGTTAATACAGAATTCATGAAGTATGACATAACCAGCACTAGGAATCATTTAAGGAAGAAAGGCCTTCTCCAACGAAACCATTATATATTTGGTTATGCAGGGGTAGCTGCACATAGAATCATAGAATGGT